TCTTTTTCTATTTTAAAAATTGCAATGCATTTGTACAATGTTGAAAGAAAACTACCACAAAGACCAAATATCCAAAAGGAAGAACTCAAAGGACAAATCACTCTAGTTCATATTATCTGTTTTTTTAAAACTTTTGTATTTAAAAAAAAAGAGATTATTATATTTAATACTAAAAGTATTTGCATAATCTTTTCCTTAAATATTCCACTCAATTGACACTCGACTAGCCCCCAATCTGTCGCACTATTAGTAAACAAGATTATAATAAATTCTTTTTTAGGTAATTTTTTAGCTTTATACTACCCTTCAGATCTGACACACTATTGGTAAATAAGATTGTTTAAAAATAACAATAACAATTACGTCTCAATCCTAAACAACTTCGTGACGATTAATGAATCCCCATTGCTTCATTTAAGCTCAAATTATACCAGAATTGTGTAAAAAATTTAAAAAATTAAAAATCTATTAATTGGAACATTATGTATTTGAAAAAAATAAATAATAATATGTTGTTATTTTACAATGTCAAATATTTTAAATCGTTAAAAAAACTAATATTTGAGATCAAAATGACATAAATGTAGCTTTATCCACAAGGACCAATTACCCAAAAAAGGAGGACTCAAAAGGACAAATAATATTTGTCAAGATCACAAGAAAACTACAAAATGATACGTCCCTTTACCTATATCCCCTCATCTCAAGACTTCAATGCACTAGCACTTGTAATAAAGGTCAAGGGTCACTTCTCTCCACCCACCCCCTCTAGGGGCAAAATCTTATCCTTAAAAACAAAATAAAAAAAATATATATTTGGAATTTATACCAACATTATTCTTCTTTATCACGATTAGTAATAAAATTGAGGTTAAAATATGAATTAATTAATTACAATTGAATAATAGCACTCTTTTCAGCCGACGTGAAAATCTAATGTATAATTCTGTAGAGTTATAGTAAGAGTGACTATTTATCTGTCAAACTTTTTCACCTTAAACTTTCACTAAGAAATTGTGCTTCACTTTTAGTTATCTACTTTTAACTTTATACTCCCTTAAAAAAAGTATGTATTTTATAATTTTACTAATAATAATGATAACATTTTCAAAAATTTAGGAAAATAATTTGGGAAACGAGTAATTAATAATAAGAGTAAAACAGTAAAAAAAGACCGTCTTTCTCTTGACTTATTATAGTGGACAAGTAAAAATAAAAATATATTTTTTGTATAGTAAAGAAGAAGAGAGTAACTATTAGTATTAGTTACGAGTATTGCTCAAGTGACAAATAAAAAGGATCAAAGAGAATAATAATTTAGTATAGTAGACAAGTCAAAGTGAACAAAGAGAGTAATTAATAGTATTAGTTACAAGTATATTTATTGCGTTGATGTAAAATACTACTCCCTCCGTCTCATATTATGTGTCATGTTTATCTTTTACACGCCCCTTAAAGAAATATTAATTAGGAAAGGGATTAGACTATTCTACCCTTATTTATGTCTTAAGATATAATCTATTTATTCTATCTATGTGTTATCTCTATTTTTAAAAATAATTATTACTAAGAGTAAAAAAAGAAAAAATAATAAATTTTGTCTTTAATTTTTAAAATAATAAATAATTTGAGATAACTATTTCTAGTAACCATGACTGTTAATATGAGACGGAGGAAGTATTCCGCAAGTTTTTCTTCAAGTACATACACACGCATAAAAAGAACTTCCAGCACACACTAGTGTTAAAGTTTTCTCACTGTTTCACACATAAATACAGGCAATTTCCTAACTCAGAACATTAACTTTTTTATTAAATATATACTCATCAAATGCATCTACCTCTTTTATTAATTAAACGCTATAAATAGTGATAGATTTCCTTCATTAAATGAGTTCCAATTGGATAATTGAGTAATTTATTCCTTCTTATTCTATGTTACATACTTCATTTACCTTGATGTATCGTATCAATTTGGTATTAGTAATAAGTATATAGATATTTTATATAGTTTTTCAAAATACACTAAAATTTACCATAATATGTGACGTGATCGTATCTAATTACGCATATTCTTATCTCGTGATCAGTGCAGATTATCTCAAGGCCTTTCTTCCAAATATTAGTAGTGTTATTCAACATACATTAAAAATTAATAAAACGTCATACGTAACTGTTTAACGTATTTACACATGTCCTTATATGTGCTTCACGAGAGATCGTTCTCACGATCGGTGCATATTGACTTTTGGTGTAATCTTTGAAGTCTTTATTCCAAATATTGATAGTGCTCAAGATACATTAAAACCTAGCAAAATACTACACGAAACTCTCTAACGTATTGGCTCCATGATCAGTGCAAATTATTTTTGGTGTATTCTCTATAGTCTTTCTTCTAAATATTGGTGGTATTATTTAAGATACATTAAAACTTAGTAAAATACCATACGTAACTGTTTAATTAACATATTCACAAATATCCTTATATGTGCTTTAAAAGATATTGTCTCCACTATCGGTGCCTATTATTTTTGGTGTAATTTTTATGTCCTTATTCCAAATATTGAAAGTGTTATTCAAAATACATTAAAACCTAAAAAAATACTACACGTAACTGTCCAATGTATTTACACATGTTCTTACTTGTGCTTCAAGAGAGATTATCTCCACGATCAATGCAAATTATTTTTGGTGTAATCTTTGAAGTCTTTCTTCAGAATATTTGTGGTATTATTTAAGATACATTAAACTTAATAAAAAATCACACGTAGTTGTTTAACGTATTTACAAATATTTTAATATGTGCTTCAAAACAGATTGTCTCCACAATCGGTGCATACTAGCTTTTGGTGTAATCTCCGGAGTCTTTATTCCAAATGTTGATAGTGTTATTCAAAATACATTAAAATCTAGCAAAATACTATACATAGTTGTCTAACGTATTTAAACATATCTTTATTTGTGCTTTAAGAGAGATTGTCTCCACGATCAGTGTTAGATTATTTTGGTGTAATATTGAAGTCTTTCTTTCGGATATTGGTAGTATTATTCAAGATATATTAAAACTTAGTAAAATATCACACGTGATTGTATAACGTATTCACAAATATCCTTATTTGTGCTTCAAGCTAGAGAGATTGTCTCTACGATCGGTGCATATTATTTTTGGTGTAATGTCTGATGTCATTCCAAATATTAATAGTGTTATTCAAAATACATTAAAACTTAGCAAAATACTACACATAACTGTCCAATGTATTTACACATATTCTTATTTGTGCTTCAAGAAAGATTATCTCCATGATCAGTGCAGATTATTTTTGATGTAATCTATGAAGTATTTCTTTCGAATATTGGTGGTATTATTTAAGATACATTTAACTTAGTAAAATACCACACATAACTGTTTAACGTATATACAAATATTCTTATATGTGCTTCAAAACAGATTGTCTCCACGATCGGTGCATATTACTTTTAGCATGATCCTTGTAATTTTTTTGTGAGTGCTGGTACGTGTTATTCCCTTATACACTTAAACTTAGAGAAATACTAACTATAAATATACAAAATATTTATACGTATTCTTCTCTCTCACCAAGAAAAATTGTCTCCACGATTAGCGTGTGTTGCTTCTATCATAATCCCTTGAGTATATTTTCCAAATACTTGTACAAGTTATTCAAAAATACCCTAAAACTTAGCAAAATACTAAACATAACCACACCTATTAAGGCATCAAAAAATATTGTTTCAACTTAATCCCTAGAGTCTTTCTCCCAAATACTGATATTTGTTATTCGAAATACACTAAACCTTAAAATAATACTAAGGAGCCGTTTGTCCATAATTTCTTTTTTGTCGAAACTCATCTCAAAATCTTGTTTTGATCATACATTGCACTGAATTTTTGAAAAGCAATTTGAAGATGAGTTTCAAATTCGAAAAAATAAAATTTTCAAGTAAAAATTCATTTTCCCACACAAAAATGCATAATCGAATGCAATTTCAAATTTTAAATATATTATTTTTATATTAACTTCAAAAATTATATTTGTATGTCCAAACGCCTACTAATAACCATGTTAAATATTTGTAAATATCTCCTTTTTAAAAAAATACATACCCTTTTGTAACTCCACCCTTCTCATTCTCAAGTAGGAAAACACCTGGAAGCCCTCAAAATATAATATAATAAACTCAAAGAAAAACCAAAAACATAAACAAAGAAAAAGGTTGATTGGCTTGGCTTTTAACCAAAAGAGTTGACACCTTTCACCTATCCCCAATATATCACCACCGCCACAAAACAAATACAATATTCATTTTTTCCATTTAATAAAAAACTGCTTAGCACTATAATATTCATTTTTCTTGTAATATAAAATACTATACTATTGTACTATAACTTCCTCCTCTTTTTTTTTCCTTCTTCTCTCTCTCCTCTCTCTCTTTCTTTTCCCTTCTATAGTCTGAAGGGTCAATTATTTCTCATAGAGAAGAAGAGTTGAACAGACTTTTGGAACCCAAAAAAAAAAAAAAAAAAAAAAAACTTTT